ACTAGGAGGCAACCGGAGAAGTGGAAGAGAGGAGGAAGATATTTTTGGGTCGAGCCCATGGGAGATGGAAGAAGGTGGCTGCTATATATACAACGGGCATTTATAGGGGCGGCTGGTGATTCAGCCGCCCCTACAAATGGACACAGCAGGAGCAGCTCTACATACCAGCCGTCCCTACAAATCGATGTATTTGTAGGGGCGGCTCGTATTACCAGCCGCCCCTACTGTGCCATTTGTAGGTGCGGTTGTTGTACTGGAGCTCGAGCACGTCACTGTAGGAGCTGCTCCAATGCCAGCCGTCCTAAAAAAAGCCCCGTTGCTACAAATTGTTTTTCACGTAGTGATTGGATGTTGCCTAATCTCTTTTGATTTGGGATTCATTCTGTCAAACTCAAGTTTGTTCAGTGGGGCAATGCCAATCCCAAGTTGCACCATAACCGGAGCTTCTTGTGGAATACAATCAATGTTACCAGTGCAGGGTCGATAAGTTTGACATGACAAATCACCGATCAACCATCGTGCGTAAGAGCCCGTAAACACACGACAACATATGCTTGCGTTAGCAGAAATAGCGTTTGTGACGAGGACACGGAGTCAGCCTTTGGTGATTATTATGGTGGCTACATCTGCAATTGCAAGACACCCCGCTACAGAGGCAATCCATCTCTTAATATGAATCCTGCCTTCAAAAGCTGGCCAGCCAGCGTGCCACGTCGCCTGCTTTTCCTGGCCGTTCGATCGGGCGCGCGGACAGGTCAGATCGATCGAGCCGCGGTATTTTTGCAAAAAACCCTTAGAACTTTAGTCGAATCAACCCGCAGTCCTAGCCTCCTCTCAGTTTGTTTTTCATAAAAGCCTTCGAACTTTATCGAAATCAACCCTCCTGCTCCCGGGTCTCGACGCTCCTCGTCCCGCAGCCTCACGCCCCCGTCCCCGTCCCAGCCCCCGCCGCCCCTCTTCCCGCAGGCCCGAGCCTTACCTCCTCTCGGACTGCTGCACTCGCTCGTCCTCATGCGCCGCCAGCCGTCGAGCTCGTCGCTCTTCTCTGCGCCCGCCGCCTTCCCCTGCGACTCGCCACGAAACCAGACGCTTGGATATCCTCGCGAGTCGCGAACCCTCGACTCATCCCCTCCACCGCATGCCGCCGTGCTCCTGCAACAGCTCCCCCTGCCATCAACCCCTGGGCGCCACCAAGGCCTCCCGACGCCTGCTGGCGGCGGCGGAGCTTAAAGACTGCTGCGGACGGCGGACTGCAGTTATCCAGCAAGATGGAGATGGGGGCGTAGCTCCACTAGTCCACCACCTCTTCCCGCTAGCCTTCCAGTTGGGCCAACCTCAACGACCGCTGCCTCTCCGATTCCAGCAGTCCCGCCGCACCACTGCCGGCCTCATCCCCAAGCTCCGACCACGTCTAAGTCGCTGACTCCTCCCGCGGACGTTGATCGGTGCTGGGGCATTCCCGCATGCGTCATGGAAAGGATCACCAAACCCAAATCCGATAGCAACGGCATCTCCAGCCTCTGTGCCTGCTCTTTCTCCCCATTGTCGGCTACCGTCGACCTCATTTCCGGCGTCGATGCTTTCGTGGATGATGTCCTCAACGTGTTCGGTGAAATGGCCACAATGTATGCGTCTTTTCTCTTCTTCTTTTTTGCACTTTCAATAACTGTTCTATATAGTCCCCATCTCTATCAGTTGTACAAAGATTGACATGAGTTCAGTGATTTCAGTGCAATTGATGGGACGGTGACTATCAGCCAAGCGGATGCGGCTGGACATCGAGTTCTATAGAAGCTGATGCAGACAGTCTCTTCACGCACCATAACCGCTTCTCATAGTGTCTCGTTCCTCAATCCAGAAATGGTCTGCTCACCATCTTATTTTTCGTTCTTTTTCAGGTGTAAATGCACGTCCTCAATTATGCTGTAAATCAACTTTGTTCGATTGGGGGAGAAAGCTAAGCTGATTACATATCCATTTCAGTGATCTAATGATGTTACTAATACCATTTCGTGCATAAATAAGGGTTACAAAAGGCATTGCAGCCAAGCATGGACGGCGCAGAGGTTGGTTCTCGCACCGCATCGCCTCATTCCTCCTGCTTTCATCCTTTTTACTCTACAGTTGCTCTTCAACAAATACACTTTCCCGTCAATGAATATTCATTTTTATTGTTGTTGCTGTAACACATTCTGCAAAGTTTGCTCGAAACAACTGATGTGAGTCAGCTAATTGCTTGTCCCATGCCCCCTTTGGTGTTGCCTGAAATTGCTTGTCCCATGGCCCCGTTTTGAATGGCATATTGACATATTCTTTGCTTGCTTTTAATACTTCTTGGCCACATCCGTTCTGACTAATCAATTTTTATCACTTATAGTGATGATTATGAGGCCCGCATACACCTTGACTTAAACAAAACCATCACTGACGTGCTTATGATGATCAAATAAACAGGCCACTTATCTAATTGAGGTAGTCTTAATGAAGATAGATGATGTCATATTAGTAGACCATAGCTAACCCCAATCCTTTCATTTGTCAAGGGTGAAAATTGGAAAGACAATATCATCGTTCTTTCATTTAGCATGCAAATTTCTACATTACTTCAAATTTTGTGTTGTGCAGTCTCCTACATTACTTAACCATATGTAGCATGGAAACTTTGTGTCGTACTGTTGTTCATCGTCTATTTATTTTTTGCCAAATTCTACTAATGATCCATGTTGGTCAATTGGTCTGCCCACTATAATTTCATTGAATATATATCTTCCATTGATAAACTCCGGTCCCCTAACCACCTGTTTTTCTGGCCTCAAATCACAACAACAAATGAATGGCCCAAATCAAAACTGGCCTCAAATCACAAGTACTCCTTGCAGGTGCGGCAACGCCGCGCGATACTTTCTAGTATATTGTTGATGGCTGCAAGCTGGACAGTGGTAAGACAATATCATCCCACCAATGTCATGCATATTATGTAATCTCTCCGTTCAAAATGCATGTTGATGTTGTTTTAGTTTTATTCTACTCAAACTGTCAAACATTTCTTACTTACTTGATCATGTTTATAGAGAACATTTGATCATATATACGTAATATTACTAAACAAATACATACACTTTCAACATGTATTTCAGGATGGATTTAATGAAATTACCAGGTGCTGTAGACATTTGTGCGAAATTTAAAAAAGACCTAAATTCTGGAACAGATGAATTAGTATACTATCAATTTCGGTATCGGGCCAACAAGGCCAAAATCTCAGCATAATTGAGCATTTTCCAACAATCTTTCATGGCTAGAAGAAAAGTCAACTACCTTTGTTTTTCATGTCAAAAAGATGTCATTTTTGCTAGGCAGCACCTTTATCCATTCCAAATAGGGTGGTACTAGTCACGTCTCAATACCAATTTTTAGATTATTATAGGAAATGTTTTTAAAAAATATGACCACACCTTTTGAGGTCAATTTTTTACTCTTTTCTCTCGTCAATAAATAGGTAGTTGGGGTGGGAAGTGCCCCTTGTCATATCCATTGCATGCTGGTGCACCAAGATTCAGAATACGTCACGATGTCGCGCCGTTAGTGTTTAGGGAGGTTGCCAGCCATTTTAGAAAGTGGTTTGCGGTGGCAGCCGCACATGTGCCGGTGGGCTGCGGCCCAGCAGTGCGGTAAGGCGTCGGGGAGCATGAAAGCCCATGGGCTACATGAGGATGATGGGTAGGGTCGGTAGTGGAGCGTTACGAGGTGAATTAGTGGAGGACGGGAGGGTGGACAAGATGAGGCCACGGGCAAATGGTGCGGCAGCGGGAGCCACCGGCCAATAGCACGGATAGGATCTAACACACTTGTATTGACTATGCGTCATGAAAACAACCCAATGACGGTATTTTTTTTTTCATAGTTTAAGTTTCTTGTATATCACCAGCAAGTTCAGGTAATGAAATTATAAGCCCATGCTAACGCTATAGGCCACATTAAGTCCAAAGTTATATTTACCCATGCTAAAGCTACAACGTACAAAAAGACAATATGTTTCTTAAAAATGAGGTGAATAGTGAGATAGACCTATTCACCTATTCCATATATAGAACAAAGAAGAATGGAAACAAACGTAATTAGCAGACCGTTACTGAAAAACAGAGTACTTTCAGTGGAACTGTGCAAGTATCCATCTCATCTACGGTTGGGAGATAAAGCTCTAATGAAATAAATCTCAGAGCCAAACCAAAATTGAATCAAAGCAATTCAAACATCTGTAAACAACTACTAATTATGAGGATTCCACGTACATATCAACAAAGGAAAGGGAAAGGCATTCTCTGTGCTTGCAATTTGGTGTCATCAAAATGGGCACATGACTGTCGATTATTAAAGTAGCCTGTTCATGGTAACAATGAAATGAGATGGAGAAGCCCATCGTGCCTATTGTGTCAAAGCAAAATGACAGCATCAAAGTCCTTGGCTGTGGCAGGCCTGTCGCCTCGCCTCTCTTCCCCATCCGGGTTTGGAGACGGCCGCCGCCGCGGCTGCCTGTGACCTGCTGATGCATTTAAATCACCAAAAAAAATTATAAGCTGAGACATGAAAGGAAAGCTCCAATGCATTCTTTCATTAACAATGACAAAGGATAAAACCTTTGCTAAACTTCACCTCTGTAGTTTTTTCTCCACTGCATTATTTTATCAAAATAAAATAAAAGATGGGTTCACCTTTTTAATGTTTGCTTGCCCGTGCTATGGGGCCACGTTAAGTCAAAAGGTAACTTATGAATCCTATGCAGACTATCTCATAAATTAAAATTTTGCGTTGTTGGAGCATGTGGAACTTTAGTTCATTACAAATTTATGATAGTGACTCAACAAAGTATTTATATTGATGAAGTGTAAAAGGGGAGGCACCATGGCAAGTCAAAATGCATATAAACCAAAATATCTGTATTGAAATCCACTTCATGTTTCCTAGACATGCCAATTGTATCCACACTCAATACTAAACAATTAAGATACAGAGACGATTAGTTCCAAATTGGCCTTATCTCTGAAAAATCTAAGATCACCAACCAGATTCGAGCGATGGACGTGTGTCAAAGCCTTCAGTTCAGCGAGGAATTCTTGAGATGACTTTGTATCCATTTTCTTTATGGCAGCTTTCTGGACACACGAAAGAGAAGGAAAATTATCAATCACAAGCATACCCCAGATGTACTGCCTCCTTTTATTTCATAGACATTAGTTGCCTATTGAACTGTGAAGTGCATGTGCACCAACTACATTGCCTATCCATGTTATACACGGAGAAAAGGTTGAGCTCACCTCGCCTATAAGCCCAGCATAAACAGAGCCAAAACCCCCTTGCCCAATTTTATGCTCCATACTAAAGTTGTTTGTAACATCAGAAAGTTCTTCATATGAGAACTCTATGTATCCGTCAACCTTGTGCATCTGTAAAAAGACAGTAAAGCATTGCAACACAATTAAATTGATACTATGTGATAAAATTATTAAACAAGAAACTATATAATTCCTTACAAAAAGAGACCAGTAAGTTAAGTGAAAACAATCATAAAAGCTACAACTGAATGTTGAGTTGGTTCTCAGCCGTCAGTTAAGTGAAAAAACCATAAAGCCACACAGTAAACCTATAATACCAACGAAATGGTATATTTAAGGACTACAATTTTTGCATAACCTAAGATTAGCCATTTCATTGTAAAGTCACAATTGCGATCAAACTAAACTAGACTACCGAGAACACAGTGACATGATTATGCTACTCTAGGCTGTTCGCAAACTACCTAGCTACACTACCAAATTGAAATTCAAGCAGGAATCCAATTGCAGATACTGCAAAGGAATCGATTATACAAACCCTTTCGTAATTCATAATTCCACACGATGAAACCAAATTGGGAATCGTACCCTTACCTTTCACTGGGATGAACACGATCCCCTTTAAGACAAATTTCTCTAACTCCAAAACCAGATAAATTTGTAAGGGAGCTCCAAACAGAAAAGCTTAAATATCTCTAACAACAATATGATATACAACACCTATAAAAAGCTTAAAGCGTCGGATAGTATTTGTAAAACATAGCAAATGAGAGGACTTTGAAGAACAACAGAAATAAATCACCTAGTAGGCCTTTGAGTGCATTAAAGAAATAAATCACCTAGTAGGCCTTTGAGTGCATTAAAACATAGGCAAGTATCCTCCACCAGTATAGGCCCATTCATCTATATGAAGAACAGGATACAGATTTTAACCAGACCAGAAAGCTCATTGGATGTATATCTCACTATGTGAGCAATTAGAATTTAGAAACATAGAAGTACCTGAGATGCAGTCATTCGTGCTTTCTCTTTGGATATCCTCTAGCTCCCCTTGCAGTTCTGGAAATGACAAACTCAAATTTAACAGACAATATGTACAAAAAGATCTTAAGCTTTCATTTAATAAAAAAATGATAGCAACAAATAAAGTAATATGTAGTAAGACATAACACATCATCAAAAGTTAATTTGTTATTAATTTAGAGTGAGCAGAGTTGTACCAAAAGCATGCTGATGTTTGGGAGCCTAGCAATTTTAGGAAAGCTCAAGTAACAAGCCTCCCGAAGAAATAACACTTTGCATTTACCTTTTTCATGTACAGCTCAACGACATTGCAGGTCAGTGTGTGGTTTGTAGTTGTCGAAGAAGGTTCCCTTCAGGGTCCTCTCGTTCAGGAAGTTCAATGCGTTCCAAGAATGTCATGAAGGCATCGTATGCACAAGAGAAACAAAACTCAAACACTGAAGTTCACTTCGAATAATTCAAGTTTGTGTAACCTGCGGACACATCAAATGTTTTTTCCCATTAAAAAAGATAGATTAGCAGTTTGTCTAAACTGCAAGCTAGCGGCGATAGTAGATGGAACCATTGGTGTAGAATCTATGCGATCAAAATCCACAGGAATAAGGGTTGGGGATCAGTAAAGGAGAATAAGAGACTGCTAATTGGAGAATGATTGAACCACTGGCCAAATGCTGACCACAAAGCATGAACTGTATATTCAAGTATTACTGCGAGGAACAAAATACAGGATGCACAGAGGAGGCATCAAGGAGGGCACTCGACAGGCAACTGGAAGAGCTGCATCCTGCATCTAGATGCAGTACCATTTGCACCGTGCACATGAAGATCATTGACCACACAACATTCACATTCAAGTTAGTAAACAAAACTGGAGGGCAAACTCACTTGCCCATGATGATTTTTGAGCTGCCTATCCTCCATCCTGCAATTCCCATCTATTAGCAGCGACTTGAGTGCACCTGGGAACAAAGAACAATCAAGGATAGTCAAGCTGAAGCCCAAAAAAGTGGTGGTATTGAAAAGGATAGAACAAACAGGCCAAGCATGTTGACAGCACCAAGTAATCAGATGTAAAATTTGCTTCTCAACACTTTTAAGCAAATAACAAAATATCAAACTCTGAATGCAGATGGCTTGATGTAAAGGCTTCGCCAAAAATAAATTCAAAGAGAATCACCGAATTTAAAAATATGGCACAAATCCTATATGTCTGCTCCTTTGCAAAAAAGAAGAATTTGGCCATCTTCCGTAGCGCACCATCCATCCCTCGTGGGTGCACGGCGGCCATGGAGAGCTCGGCGCCAGCCACCGCCTTGGACAGCTCTTCCAGGAGATGGCGGCGACTGACTTGGGGAGCTCGCCGCTCTTGGTCGCCCTTGCCGCCGCGGCCTCCCGCCTCGACACGTCCTCGCCCGGACGCACGGCCTCGCCTAGAGGCGGCGCGCCTCACTAGCCTTGCCACGTCTCCACCCTGTGATGCCTCTGCCGCGGCCTCGCCTTGCCCGACGGCTGTCCGCGAGGCCTCGACGGCTCCCCTGCGCTTGCTCCTCCAGCGGCAGGGAGGGGGTGGAGGTGTGAACTACCTAACTACCTAGGGAGTCGAGGAGTCGTGAACGGCGCTCCGCGTGACCAGACAGGGAGCCCATGCCTGATGGCGCCGCCGCCGGCCAGAACCCTTGCCACCAGGCGGACCGGAAAAGGAGAGGGGGGCGTTGTTCGGGAAGGGAGAGAGGGGCCGGCCGATGTAGGCGAGAGAGAGGGAGGCGCGGCCGGTGGGGGAGCCTGTGCTAGTGGCGGCCGCCGCCAGCCGAAACCCTATCCGTCCTCCGGACTAGGAGAAGGAGATGGAGGCGCTTGCCTCCCCTGCTTGCTCCCGCCCTGGTCTTGCAGGCGATGGATGTAACGCCCTTCGTGCTACGTCCAAAATAAACTACTAAATCATATCAGAGTATCATGTTTATGTAATAATATATGAGATAGAAGGTGTTGATAAATTTCTTATAGTCTAAAATCACCAATAAAAATGTTAAATAGAAATTTATTCGATAACTCATGTTATGTCAAGTAGGATGGAAAATCAATTTTTATTGAGCAAAAGTATTATAGAACATGTGTGTGACACCTAAATAAGGTTTGAAGTACAAATTTTATAGATGACAATGCAACTCTTGCTGTAGAAAAATAATATGACTAGCTAGTATTTCTAATGGCTTGGAAATAGAACTAGATGTCAAATTCAGCTCAAGACTTGGAAGAAATTTTAAGTTTGAAAACAGTGTGATAATGTCATGTTGGTAAATTAATTCTGAAAAAATTAGCTAAATGTCAATGATGTGTTTTTGCTCCTTATGATAGACTGATGTCCCCTCGTTAGCATGGTCAAGGTAGTTTAGCTTCAACTGTGTTAGGATAGTTTTTAGACGCGCTTTAAAATTCATGGACGTCGTGATGCAGCGCTCGCGGCAAGACGTCACGTCACGCCGCTGCTTTCGGCGAAGGGCGGTTAGCAGCTGCGTTCGCAGTGCCAATCCCGTGAGGGCTGTCTAGCCATGGGTTGGTTAAAGTGGCCCTTAGCGGGCCGCCGTCATCGCCTCCTACAATTCGCGGCATCGCGTCTGCCGCCCCACCTCGCCGCCAGACCGCTATGTGCACGCTAAGGGCCAGGCCGAGGGGTCGCCACGCGCTACACCCGATGCAGCAGTTGGCTGCGCGGTCGCATGGCAAGGCATCATCGCGATGCTGTTGTCGGGTGCCCCTGCTGTCGCCGCATGCGCGAGCCATTTTGACCGTGGATACGCGTGCGGGGTCCGGCCAAGGCCGGGGCCGTTGTTGCCATGGCTACGTGGCAGTCGCCCTTGCCAACGATTCACCTACCACGAGTCCGTGTCGCCGCTCGCCATGTCTGGGTCAACCGACCCTAGCTTCTGGGTGATGGTGACACCTCCCTGATTTGCCCTGTCCCGCTAGCCGACGTCGGTGAGCCGCTCGGGCACGGCTACCGTATTCAAGTGCTCCGCACACTGGCACCCCTCTTGGTTCCATCTAAGCATTACCCAATGCGCCTCCTGCCTCGCTCGTGTGGCCATGTCCTTGCGTTGTCGTACCCTGTCGGGTCATGGCTGGGTCACCTCTGATGGGGTCGCGTTGCGTTTAGCTGTAGATGGTGGTCGGCCCCTTAATTCCATCGTAGCGGGCCTAGTTTGCCCGGCGTAACCGCCTTATGCCATCGGTCGCCGCGCCGACGCGCACGGGGTTTCTAGGGATCTCCCCGTGATAAAGATGAAAACATCCGAGGGTGTGGTTGCAAGATTACTGACGGTAGGAATAGTGTACATAGTATTCGTATTGATCTCTGAAAGGTCAGGGGCTTTTCTGCAAAGCTGCCGCCGCGCGCGAGCGCCGCCGGCCTTGGGCCATACTGGGCCGCCGCGACACGCGCGCAACCGCGCCCGCGCTGGGCCGCTGGGTTGCCGGGCCGAATTGATTACCGCCGGCCCTTTTTCCTTTTCTAAGCATTTTCTAAATTAGTTTCTAAGGTAAAATTATAAATTCAAAATAAATTTGTGTAGTTAACAAAAAATTATGAAACCAATTTTGTTAAGTTCCTAAAATCATGATCTATTTGCTAGTATATTTTGTTCACATAGTTTTATAATATTTTCAGAAGTTATCTAATTAATTTAAGATGCTTAATATTGTAAGATATAAACTTGTAGGAATTGTTGTGATAAATTGGTGATAGTGTTGGCTCTGAGACTTTCACAATAAATTCCTAATATTATTAGGTGCTCACTGTAATTTTTACAACTCCATAATAATTAGTTTGCTAAGGTAGCTAAATGAGCCCTAGTTCAAAAATATATATTTAATCAATAAAATGCCGAAACACATTTGGATTTGAAAACTAGAACATTTTTTGGAGACGAAGCCTTGCTCGACAATATGGTACTAGCCTAGTACGTTAGTCGTTAGAGCTAGCTCGTTGACATGAGAGGTGTAATTGTATTTTTAAGAGTTGCGGTTACCGTTGATTAATTATGTCTCTACGTTGCATCCACGTATATCATAATAGGAACAACAATGGATCATGGAGTTGACCGAAGTAGCGAAAAAGATGGTGCCTTGATGATTGTGTCACCATGATGGAATGCTAACTTTTGATTATAGCTTACCCAGGCAAGCCCCGGTGCATAACCCCTATTATTCTATATTTTATTTTATGTTTGTGTATTAAGTTTTAAGGAGTTGAATGAAAATCACTTGCATATATATATATATATATATATACCCTATGAGTCCTACTAGTATGTCAGGATCGTGTAGATTACTATGCTATAGGATTCGATAGAAGTCGAGTTATTATCTGTCACTCGCGAGGGATAGAAAAGATATTATTGTTGTTATTATATTGCTATCACATGGAATATATATGGAGGATAATTGTTGATCGGGTGGAAAGGTACTTTTGATCTGGACTTGGTTAGGCATTCAAGTGAGGCTCGGGTTGCATTTGTTCTGCCCGTGTCGATTGAGGACCGTCTGTTGCTGTGGATGGTAGTCAGGTCACAGACTTATTGTCCTAAACACATACTTGCTTATGGGAGCGAGAAGGCTTGTTGCGCTCTTGTCTTGGGTTTTGGCTCTTTCTGGACCAACTGGTTGGAGGCGGCGAAAGGTGGAGGTCTAAACACCATGCTGGGACCGGGTCTCAAGTGTGGGGGCTTAGAGTCCAAGTTTGGATGGGGACCTGGACCCCTCGATAGGAGTGAAATATGTTGGTCTTGTTTGTGCCTGGGGTACAAGTGAGGCGTGTGTTTCAGGATACCCAGCTGGGATACATTGGTTCACGAATCATCGTTTCTATGAGATGGTATGACTTGGCTATGGTCTAGCACCATAGTAAGAACTGGAACTTAAAAGGTGATAAAATGGTTCTAATTGCTTACCACCTGCTTGAAAGTAGCATAGGTGCTTACATAGAATGGTTAGTTAAT